AAACTTTGTAACATTGCCAACTAGAGGCTTGGAAATATTCTATCTCTTTTTTTTCTTGACCGGACAAAGCTGAGAAAGAATTGAGACTTTTTTTTCAAGAACTTTGCCTGTTTGATAAGATAGAGGGAAGAGCATGGGAGAGTATTATTGCAGGTGCTCTTCTGGGTTTCTATGAATAGCTGCAGTCTGGTGTTGAAGTTTACAGAAAAAAAAGACAATAAGACTTTGGAGAAGAGAGTTATAAATTTTAACAAAAGCCTTGGATAACTAAACAAGGTGCAGTGTGCTCTTTTTACTTTTCTTAAGCTGGGCTATTTCTTACTTTCACAAACCCCCTCCTTACTAGCTTACTTTTTGTAATAGCTATTTGGATCTTTGGCCTTTTGGAACTTGTTTTTATCTTTCTTTTTGTTTTTAAGTCTAATTTTTACGTTTGCATTTTATTTTAAAGGAAAAGTTTTAGTATTAATGTTTTCCTTCTTTTTTCTTTTCTTTTTTTTTAAGGGAGCAGTCTCTTTTTTTCCCTCTCTCTCTCCCTCCTTTGTATTTTTTTTTTCTATTTACCTTCCATATTTTTTTTTGTGGCTTTCTTTTTTTTAATGTATCCTTTTATACCTGAGACTTTTTAATTGGATTAAAGTGTTGAAGAACCTGAAAAACTTCTTTTTTTTCTTCTTTAGGTTTTTATTTTCTATTTTTCTTTGGTAAATCTCCAATTTACAAAAGTTCATTAAGTGACCCTTCGAGTTACAATGTTAGTGAAAAAATTGACTCATGACCACTTTTCACACTTAACAATGCCCTGAATGACAATCAAGAAGAATTGTATAGAAAATTACATATGAAAATAATCGAACTGGACTATGCTAATATACTTATGATGGGAGATTTTAATGGAATTGTAGACAATAAATTGGACTATACAGCACAGAAAACAACAAAGCAAAACAGAAAGACTCTCCCTAAATCTTTTTTTTAAAATGATAGATGAAATAAATTTAAAAGATACATGGAGAGAAAGAAATGCTAAGACTAAACAATACACCTTCTATTCAAACATACATTTATCATGGTCCAGAATAAATATGATATGGATGTCAACAGAATTGTTAGCTAATATCCAAGAAATAAATATTGAAACAAGTACTTGGGCAGATCACAATCCAATGACAATTACATGGAAAGGACAAAGAAGAAGATCTAAATGGATGTTAAATAATACTATATTAAAGGAAAAAGACTTCATACAGAGGATGGAGAAAGAACTGCCTTTTTTCTTTAGAGAAAATAAAAAAGAAGACACATCAATGCAGAATGTATAAGATACAATGAAGGCATATGCCAGAGGCTTGATAATAGACTATACAAGGAAAAGAAATACCACGAAAAGATTAGCCTCTAAGACATTAGAGGATGAGTATAAAGGACTTGAAAAAGAGCTGCAGAAAATGCCACAGAAAAAGGACATTAAGTTAAAAATGGGTATAATTAAACATAAAATGGGACTAATGGAAAAAGAAGAAAATCAGCACAGAAAATCAGAGGTGCAAAACAGAACTACTTTGAAGATGCAAATAAACCAGGTAGATGGTTAGCATATAAATTGAGAAAGGAGAAAGAATCAAGGAAAATATTGCAATTAATAGATGATCAAGGCCAAGTTTGCTATGGAAGTAAAGAGAAGAAGAAAATTATACGAGACTATTATGGGAAACTATACACACAAGAGAATATTGATGAAGAAAGAGTTAAACATACTTACAGAATGCTAATCTACCCCAGATACCTAAAGAGATGGAAACAATGTTAGAAAGCAATATAACGATGATGGAGTTAACTGAAGCACTTAAGAAGCAAAACAATGGAAAGGCACCAGGCCCAGATGGACTTCCGGCAGAATTTTATACAATGCTACAAGAATCGTTGAACCTTCCATTGCTAGAAGTTATGAATGAAGTTATATTAAAGAAGAAGATACCCAAATCATGGTCAGAAGCTTATATTACACTTGTCCCAAAAGAGGAGGTCAATCCATTACAAATCAAGAACTATAGACCTATTTCCTTACTAAACACAGATTATAAAATTTTTGCTTTAATATTGGCAGAAAGATTTAAATACCTAAACAATTTTATCCACCCTGATCAAAATGGATTTCTGCCAAAGAGATAAATTAAAGACAATATGAGAGTAATCTTGGACACTTTGGAATACTACGAGGCACACCCTGGAAAACAAATGGCTTTGATATTTTTAGATGCACAGAAGGCATTTGATAATGTGAATTGGCAATTCATGTTATTACAGCTGGAACAGATGGGCTTTGGTAAAAATTTTATCCAAGCAATAGAAGCTATATATCATAATCAAATGGCAAAGGTAATGATAGAGGGAGAAATGACAGCCTCTATCAATATAAGAAAAGGAACAAGACAAGGGTGCCCACTATCACCTTTGTTGTTTGTGTTAACCTTGGAAGTATTAAACAGAAATATTAGAGAAGAAAAGGATATAAAAGGGATGAAAATTAAAAAGGAAGAATTTAAGTTGCAAGCATTTGCAGATGATCTGGTTTTCATTTCAGAAGACCCACTAGAAACAGCATCAAAATTGATAGAAAAGATAGAGGTATATGGAAAGGTGGCTGGTTTGAAAATAAATAAAGACAAAACAAAGATTTTGACAAAGAATATGCTATCAAGACAAAAGGAAGAACTGGCGGATGTATTGAAAATCCAGGTCATGAATAAGATCAAGTACTTGGGGATACATTTGACAGCAAGATGTAGTACACTAAAAGAGAATAACTATATTAAACTTAAGCAGCAGATAGCTCTAGATTTGGCGAAATGGGAAAATTTACAACTGTCATTAATAGGGAGATATCAACAATCAAGATGAATATATTACCTAGAATTTTATATTTGTTCCAAACCATTCCAGTTAGGCTTGGAAAAGATTATTTTGAAGATTTAAATAAAATTGTGTTGAAATATATATGGCAAGGTAAGAAAGCGAAAATAAAGTTAAAACTTTTGCAAGACGCCAGAATAAGAGGAGGATTTGGTTTGCCTAATTGGGAGTTGTATTACCAAGCTACAAATTTGATGTGGGTTAAGGAATGGATAACATTAAGAAATACTAGATTGTTGACATTAGAAGGACATGATCTGTTGTTGGGGTGGCATGCTTTTCTATGGTATAAAGGAACTAAAACACAGGGGTATTTTAGAAGACATTATATACAGGAGTCTCTGTGGTTAAACTGGGAGAAGACCAAAAGGCAATGTTATTTGAAAATTCCAATCTCACTATCGACTATTGAAGCATTTTCTTATCCTATAATATATAAAAAGGAACAAACAGCTAGATACGGTGAAATATTGAATGAAAAGGGTGAATCTATGCAAAATTTAGAGGAAAAGGGTATAAAGATGAATTGGTTTTCATATGCGCAAATACATTCAAGGTATGACAAAGATTCTAAAACAGAAGGCTTCTATGATAAACTGACTGATTTAGATAAGATTTTGACAGGTACTGATGAAAAGGTGATTAAAAAATGTATGGATATTTATTAGAAATTAAACCAGAAGAAGAACAAGTTTAAGAAACTATGATTGCTTGGGGGAAGAATTTTGGATATGGGATTGATCTAGAGAAATGGCAAAAATTGTGGTCTCAAAATTATAAAATGACAATGTCAACAGCATATAAAGAAAATTTGTATAAGATGTTTTACAGGTGGCATTTTCCCCCAACAAGAATAGCAAGAATGTTCAAGAACAAATCTGAAAAATGTTGGAAATGTCATCAGATACCTGGCTCATATTACCATATGTGATGGACTTGTGCGGATGCCAAAAAATATTGGACTAAAATCCACATGTGGTTGGAAAAAATGACAAAAAAGCATATAGACTTGAAACCAGAGATATTTTTATTGGGAATTTTACCTGAAATATATAGTAAAGAATTGAAATATCTGATTGTAAATGTATTAACAGTGGCTAGGATTGTATTTGCCAAAAACTGGAAAAATGAGAAAATACCATCACAGGAGGAAATTATTAAGAAAATATTGGAATGTGCTGAAATGAGTAGATTGACATTTGAAATCAGAGAACAGGATGACAAACAATTTTATAAAATTTGAGTTCTATTCTATCAACGGTTAAACAATAAAACATGGTAATGAAATATGTAGATCTTTAGAAAATAATAAATATATAAAGATGTATTTTTTTCTTATTATATCCACAAAATGATTGTAGGATAGATTTGAGATGATGATATGAACTGTCATAAAACAAATTAAGTAAAATATGGATTATTTCCTAAAACATGAATGAATAATAGTATAGTCAAATGATTGATTAACAATGATATTAATGTATTTAATATTTGATTGAAAATATGAGAATATATACAATGTAATTGTAATTGAAGACTACGAAATGGAAGCACAAAACAATTTGTAAACCAACCGACACACTGTATGTATATATATGGAAGATGGCTTGATGTTTTTATGTTTTGTTTGTCTATGTTTGTTTGTTTTGTTTGTTTGTCTATGTTTGTCTTAAAAAACAATAAAAAAAATTTGAAAAAAAGAAGAGATTGGACAACCATTTGCCCAGAATGGTATAGGGTCTCCTAAGCAGGGGTTTGGACTAGAAGTCCTCCAAAGTCCCTTCCAATTCTGTTACTCATGGGGAAACATTGAGCTGAACAGCTATTCATTTCATAGTAATTATTTTGATACCATTTATTTATGTATCTATGTATTTGTATATCAGTCATATTTATAGTGAAATATTCATTCCTGAAGATTCTGCTCGATATTTTTATAGGCATAAAGATTTCACAATTCCTCCTAGAGATTATTCTATGCATCTGTCTTTAAAGGTGGATTTTTGTCTGTGCAGCACAAAGATGTGAAACTGGTTTGCCAAGTTGTCATAGCACCCATGCAAGGACTGATCAAATTACACGGTAGGAAATAGACATCAGAGTCCAGAGTCCTTATGGCACAGAATTTTCTGTATCATTCAGTAGCGGCAGTTGCTTTGAAATATACTGGAGTCATTTCAGTCTACAAAATTCCTTATAATTTTTGCTTAAAAGTGCTTACTAAAAGGAAATGGATTGGACTGGAGCAATTTTGACATTACTACTATTTATTCTTGCAACTATGTTCCTTTTGAAAAAAGGCAGTTCCTGGAATAACAACTCCCGCAATCTCCCTCCGGGGCCCAGGACCATACCCATCTTGGGAAATCTATATATGATGGATCTGAAGAAGCCTTTAAAAACAATGATAGAGGTAAAGCCTGATGATTAACAAACATGAATATTCTTTGCAACAACTTGTTGGGAATGGGATAAAAACTTGGAATTTTGTTCAGGTAAGCCTGGGGTGGGCTGAGAGCCACATAGAGTAGACTTTGTAATACTTGCAATATGTATTTTGTAGTAGTGTAGCACTGGCTTACTAAAATAGTTTTTTTTTCTTTAATATGCCTTATTTTTCCTTTTCTCCCTGTTTTAAATGTATTGTTAATAATTGGCCATAAGCCCAGCCT